CACCCTTAAATCTTAGTGTCTTTTAAAGCTTTAATAGCTTTTGGAACACTCCATATGTAAGATTTTAGTCCACGCTTACCATGGGCAGAGCAGTATGACAGGAGAATGAATACAAGGATGAATAATACATATCCCTCTGCCCTCATGGAGCTTATATTCTTTTTTAAACATTTTTAAACATAATTATGATATAAAATAAGACACAGCATGTGTTTATAAAATTAATACACATTGAGTACATGAGTGAAGCATAAAAATGCTACATAAGGTCAGTGGGGAAAGATCATTACTAATTAGGATAGAGAAAGGCTTCATGGAAGAAGTAGTATTTGAAGGAAAAACAGAATTTCAACAGATAGAAGGGAGGAATGGGGAGAGGACTGAAGGGCATTCCTTTGAAATAATATGAGCAAATCTATTTCAATACCTCAAATATTTAAGGATACTCCTTCCAAGACAATGAATGAAACCTTAACGTAACTTAATAGATAGTTTTTGAGAACTGCTATGGTTAAAAATTTTATGTGGCCGTGGCTGATTTCTTCAAGCTTAATTAACCAGGCTGGTCCACAGAAAATGGACATGGTTTTATTCTTGGATACAGGCTGTTAACATCTTTCCAGCTTGATAGGATCTGACAGAGCTTGCATGCTACTCATTGAGCCTTCAACAACTCAGGATGTCCTGGAGGTCATTAAAATAGGCTTTCCATGGATTTGCAAAGGTCCAGAAACAGGAAAATGCAGATGATATTAGGGGTTTGGTTCTTAAACTTTTTGTGTCATGGACCCCTTTGGCAGTCTGGTGAATCTTAAGGACTCCTTCTCAGAATAATGTTTCTGATTCCCAAAATGAAGTACATAGGATCGTATGAGAAATCAAATACACTGAAATAGTTATCAAAGAATTTTTTAAAAAAATGCTTCATGAATACCATGAGTACTTGGTCTAGTCTAACTGGAATGGTTCCTCTTTAGCCTCTGTATATCCCACAGGGCTTAGTACAGTTCTCTGCACACAGTGCCATGGAGGACTAGGTAGCTATGTGGGAGAGGAGGGGAAGGGAAAAGATTTTTAGATAATGGCCACAATGCTGAGTGAAAGGAAGTGACACTGACAGATCCTCTGAAGTCAAGAAAAAAAAAAAGCAGAATTTGGGAGAAAGATAAGCTCAATTTTAAATAGACTGTATTTGAAGTGCTGGTCAGACATCAAGGAGAAGGTAATAGGATCACCATTAGAGACCATCTAACCCAGGCCCTTCATTTGAAAGATAAGGAAACTTTGGCTCAGAAGTCAATGACTTTCCCAAGGTCACCGGGTAGTTTGTGGAAGAGGTGGGATTTTAACCCTGCTCTGTGTATACAAGAGAAATAGAGTAAATTGAAGGCAATCTCAATGGGGATTGGTGTTGGTGATAGATATATGGAGTTTGGAATAGAGGTCCAAGCTGGTGATAAAGATCTTGACAATTATAAATTCCTTAAGGGTATGGACTGTGTCTTCATGACCTCCAGGATCAAATATAAAATCTTGTTTGGCTTTTAAGGCCCTTCATAACCTTCCCCCTTCCTACTTTTCCAGTCTTCTAATACATCTGTCAATCCCCTCTGCCAACTCTATGACCTAACTACACTGGTCTTCTTGCTATTCCTTGAACGTAACACTCCATCCTCTTATTCTGCTTTTTCATATATCCCCCCTTGTTTGTAATGTTCCCCTTCTTGGCTTGACTGTCTTCTTCAAGTCTCAGAAAAAATATCTCACCTGTAAGAGGCCTTTCCCAGTCTCCCTCAATGCCAGTGGCTTCCTTCTAAGATTGCCTTCAATTTACTCTACCTCTCTTGTACATACAGAGTTCTTTGCATGTTGTTTCCTCCAATATAATGGGCTCTATGAAGGCTAGGACCATATTTTTGCTTTTCTTTTTCTCTGTCTTTACTACATTTACTATGGTGCCAGGCACTTAATAAAATACTTGTTGACTTGACTTTTCAACGCCTAGGACAGTGCCTTACACACAGTAAAGTGCTTAAAAATGTTTTTTGAATAGAATTGGAAGTTATCTGCATGGAGTTGATTCTCAGAGAAAAGGAAGAGAAGGGCCTGTTTTTGTACTAGTATATTGGTTCCCCATGATCTCTTTGCAATGAACCTCTCTACTTTCCATATTGATGTTAATTGAGTTTGTATATTGGTCCCAAAGATCTAAATCCTAAATTTTAAACAAACGCTTTTGTAGTGAACTAATTTTTCTTTGTTACTGAGACAATGAAAGGCTCTTTCTAACCAAGCTGTGAAACAGAACATAAATTTCCTGTATCTGTCATTGGCTCTGGTTTCTGTAATGTTCAAAGACAAATTAAATGTGTCGTGTGTGACAAATGCATTTATATCAATCAGGCATGGACATTTATTCAATGTTAGACAGATAGTGTCAGCAAAATCTTGCCTCTGTCTGTCATTAGAAGGAACTGAGGGTCATTTCCATCTCAAAAGGTGTGAAGAAGCCAAAATACTTATTAGTCAGCAATTTTGACTCTCTTCTTTCAATTCACTCCTATCACCACACAATATTCTAGCTGTCAGAATGGCAGGTTGTGCAGGCACAGATACAGAAAAATAGAAACATGAACCGAAAATGGTGTCAATTATCTAAACCTCTATTACTCCAAATCAGTTCACGTCTTTTGCCGATAAATTCCCTGTCACAGACCCCCTTGATTTTTTGAATCCACGATTATCCACAACTGGATCCATGCTTTTGGTTAATTTTAGAAATGCAAAGCTATGTTACAATTAGCTATGTCTGTGTCATGGACACAGAATTTAATTGTTATAAACAATGGTGCAGCTTCCTCCTTGGATCCTTAATCCACTGCTTTTCAAGAAGTGATTGATCCATGCCTGGGTAGCCCCACACATTCATCTTAGAAATTAGTGTAAGTTGTTTTTTCATGGAATTGTAAAGTAGAGCAAGATGGGACCTTAGAGGTCATTAAGTAAAACCCCCTCATTTTACAGAAGATTACTTGTCTAGGATCACACAGCTAGTAGAATTTGAACCCCAGTCTTTCTGACTCTAAGCCTAGTCTGATCTCTGGTACTCCTCATTGCCTTTTTAGCTTTTAGAATATGTTGTCACTATTAATAATGTAATTTATGATTAAAGAAATGACATCATACTGAGAAAAAAGTAATTATGACAAAGGAAACATTCAATAAGTTTTGTTTCCCCCCCTTTGGCCATAACTCTCAGACATTACAGGTATGAGAGTTCACCTAACACTTGTCCCAAGAAGTTCAGAGCATAATTATGCCATTAATTGTAATGGTGAGTGTGTAAATAGAATTGTTTAAAATAAAGATCCTTCCTCGCTAATACATTGTTGGTGGAGTTGTGAAATGATCCAACCATTTTGGAGAACAATTTGGAACTATGCCCAAAGGGCTACAAAAATGTGCATACCCTTTGATCCAGCAATAGCACTTCTAGGGCTATATCCCAAAGAGATCAAACAAATGGGAAAAGGAACCACATGTACAAAAATATTCATAGCAGCTCTTTTTGTGGTGGCAAAGAATTGGAAATTGAGAGGATGCCCATCAATTGGGGAATGGCTGAGTAAGTTGTGGTATATGAATGTAATGGAATACTACTGTTCTATAAGAAATGATGAACAGGCTGACTTCAGAAAAACCTGGGAAGACTTATATGGTCTGATGCTGAGTGAAGTGAGCAGAACCCAGAGGACTTTGTATACAATAGCAGCCATGTTGTGCAATGACTAAGAATGTTAAACTGAACCCTTCTCAGCATTATGAGGATCTAAGACATCTCCAGAGGCCTCAGGATGGAAAATGCTGTCCACATCCAAAGAAAGAACTATAGAGGTCGAATCGCTCTCACTTAATTTTACCTTAAGTTGAATTTTGTTTCATCTTTCTGATGGTTCCTCCTATTGGTTTTAATTTTTACTTACAACTGCACTAATGTGAAAATATGTTTAATGGGTATGTAAATGTAAAGCCTATGTCAGATTGTGTGCCGTCTTGGGGGGGGGGGGAGAAAAAGGGAGAAAAAATTTTCAACTCAAAAGCACATGGAAAAAAAAATTTTAAAAAAAAGATCCTTCCTAAAAGACATCTACATCTAATTTCATAACAAAGTTATCACAGCAAAATTTCAAAACAAACCTATTAAGGTGTTTTCTTTAAAGTTTTATCTACTTTGTTTCTTTTGTTAATTGTCAGATGTCTCTTTGCCACAAAATAACATATATAAAGTGCTTTGTCACACATAGGGGCAATATACATGTCGGCTCCTATTAATAATACTTTGCCTCTTTTGCTAATTGTCACACACTTTTCACTTCAAAACAATGTTTCCCTTCCATATGTACCTTCCCATGGCACTTTGAGAGAGACCTTGGGATTACTTAGTCAGTTTCCTGGCAACACACTGTGATATCAAACATGAGAATATAAATTCTCAGGGAAAACTGGATTCTCAAAATTTAGACCAGGGGTTACACTGAAAAGGCCTCCCAGCTTAAATTAAATTCTATAAAATACCTAATAAATACTTGATAAACTTGATAATAATTTACCATTTACATGAGTGCAAAGTGCTTTATAAATATTACCTCATTTGATACAACTCTGGAAGGTAAGTGCCAAATGAGGGAACTGAGGCAGAGAAAAGTTAAGTGACTTGCCTAGGATCATGAAGCATTTAAAAAAATATTTTTTTGATAGCTATTTCAATGTATTTGATTTCTCATATGATATTAAGTACTTCATTTTGTGGAATGTCTGAGGTGGCATTTGAACTCAGGTTTGTTGGGTCCTGGTCCAGGACTCTACTCACTCTACCACCTAATTGCCTGAGTATTTTTTGAGTATTTTCATTGGAAATCTTTTTTTTTGTTTTTCTTTTTCTACAATCAACTTTTTTTTTCTACCACTTCCTCTATAAGAGAAAACAATGAGATCACTACCTCTTTGTTCCCAACTCTCTGCAAAGCATCACCCAAGTGGAAATAAAAACGCCCATCATCAGTGCCAGGGTCACCAGATTCCAGTCCCTCCTGGTGAAAAAGTAACAAAAAAAAATCTTAGTAATATTGAATTAAGAGAATTCAATAAATAAATTTATTTTATCCATTAAGCTACATCTAAGAAAGGAACAGCAAACTAAGAAAAGAAAAAGCTAATCACACCCACACATTTAAGAGCTAGACAAAAAAGATCTCATTTCAACTTTGCAGTTAGTTTACAAATCAAAATTTACAACTCCAGAGAAAATAGACATCACAGTCCAGATCTCAACAATAAGGCAATCACTAACAAGGGCTGAGGCTGGTCATAAAATAAAGAAGACACTTCTCTGTGGGAGCGATTATGTAGTTAAGCCTGTAGTCCTTTCTGAGAGATTTAAGATTCCTCCCTGCAGGAAAGGACCTCTCTGGTCATATTTCTGCCAAATCCCTTTTTCCTCCCCTGAATCCTACCCTATCAGCCAGTCTTTAACTATTATTCTTGAACCAAAATACTTAATTACCCTTAGAATGTGTGAAGTGATATGGAGACAGCCAAAAACATATTTCTTTTCTTTGGAAATAAATTCATGCTGAGCTTTTGATAAAACCACTTACAGAAAAATGCAACAAAATGGAAATAAATTTGGATTTTAGAAAAGATAGTTTCTCTCTAATCAATCCCCATTTCAAAATAGAACCAAAGATTTAAAACTAGAAGATCCCTTGGAGATCTCCTAGCCCAACACTTTCAGTTTTTACAAATTAAGAAATTAAGATCCAGTGGAATGAATTTACTTGCCCAAGGTCACATCAATATTAAGTCGTAGAAACAAGATTTGAAGCCAGTTTTTCTGACTCTAAATTCAATGGTCTTTCCTGTTTACCATTCTGTTCAATTTTCCCTCCTTCAATTCAATCATGATTAAACTCCTGCTATGTGCAATGCTCCATGGTTAAGTGCTAAAGATACAAAGACAAAAAATGACACAAGCCTTCACTTGAAGGACCTCATGTTCTCTTGGCTGAAAATGAGAAGCAAGCAGAAAGGAGGAGGAAAAATTGGAAAGTGGAAAAGAATAAAAGGACATTAGTTTCAAGAAATTGAATTCTCCGTATTTTAGGAGATGACTTCTTTTTAAAATTCTGTTATCTTCTTTCCTAGGGAGAGAGCATGATGCTTATGTAGTGGAGCCCATAGCTGGTCTCCAAGCTAGGAAGACTGGGGTTCAAGTCCCACCCCTTCCATAAACTGCCTGGGCCAAATCATTTAACTTGGGTAAGTCACTTAACATTTTAATGCTCTAGGCAACTCAAAGAAGGTGTCCCTGCATTTGTAGGAGGCACTTCCTTACCTAGGAATTCTTAAAAGCAATGAATTCTCAGAGCCAGTCTCTATCCCTATTGCTGCCATTAAACAATGATCCCTGTTGTATTTATGACAAAATGTTGTAAATATGTAACCCCTATGTATGCAGAGCTTTGTTTTACAAAATGAGAGGCAGCTCCAGAGTAGCAGATAGAGAGTAGGTCTTGGAGAGAAGAAACCATGGGATTGTGTTCCACTTCTGATACTTAGCTGTGTGATCCTGGGCAAGTCACTTAACATCTCAGTGTTCCAGGCAAGTCTCAAAAGCTCTAAGTTTTACAGCAAGTAAATATCTGCATTGGTAGAGGGAGTTTCCTTATCCAGGAAGTTCCTTTTTGAGTAAAATCCCAGGTCTAGTCCTTATTCCTATCCCTTTGTGTTACAAAGCACTATTCCTACAACAAAGGGAGCCAAAGTATTACCTTCACTTAATAAATGAGGAAACCAAATAATCTGAAGAGATAGTGTTGAGAAAGAAGTGTATGGAGGCGTGGGGAAGTGTCAACACAAAGGCCAGAAGATGGAAGAGGCCAGTTTTCCTGGACCATACAAAGAAGAGGAGTAATGCATGATAAAACCAGAAAGGTAGGCTGCAGGCAGGTTTTGAGTGGTTTTAAACATGAGACAGTAGAGATAGTATTTAACCAGAGAAGTAACAGGGAACCATTAGAGTTTATTAAGTACGGGAGCAACATGGTCAGATTTATAGTTTAGGAAATACACTATAGAATATAGCCTGGAATGGACAGAGACCAGGTAAAAGATGATGAGGGACAGATCAAAAGGGAGTCATGTGAATGGAAAGGAGAAAGATATAAGAGATGTCCTGGAGGTAAAAATAACGATTTGGCACTGAATGAATATATCAGGAGAGTGGGACTGATGAGTCAAGGATAAATATCAAGTTTGTGAATCTGGATGACCAGGCAGAAAGGGGTACCCTCAACAGAAATGGAGGAGTTTAGAATAAGAGGGGTTGGAAGAAGGAAAATAATGAGTTCTTTCTTGGTATATTGAGTTGTTTATTGGATAGTCTGTTAAAAATTCCAATAGGATTTATAATACAGGACAGGAGCACCCAGGAGAGAGAAGGAAAGGGAGCCCAGGACAGAGTCCTGTGTCTCAAGAAGGTTTCATGCTTCCTTACATCCTAGGGAGGATGAGTGATATCATTTTTTTTTTTGCTGAGGCAATTGGGGTTAAATGACTTGCCCAGGGTCACACAGCTAGTAAGTGTCAAGTATCTGAGGTCAGATTTGAACTCAGGTCCTCCTGACTTCAAGGCTGGAGCTCCATCCAAGTGATATCATCTTTATGGAGTACTTTAAGCTCTTTGAAAGAGCTATAACAATTCAAGGTATCATTACGTAATTTCCCAGCTAACCAAAGTCACCAAGGCCAAACATAATTTTGGCCATGTCAAACACATTGCCAACATAACTTGAATGTTTTAGATTAGCATGGTTTATTTAGACAGCCTCAATTCTTCACCTCATTTTATATGTGCAGTTATATCACTACCTCCATCCCATGGCAATGACCACTGAAGTAATTTATAGTTGATTTTCTTATAGGAAACAATGCATTGATTGAACTAATTTTTAAAAGGCATTAAAATAATTATTCCTTTCCTTTTTTATCTTCTGCTGTCATTTCTTTTTTTTTTTTAAGGCAATTGGGGTTAAGTGACTTGCCCAGGGTCACACAGCTAGTAAGCGTCAAGTGTTTGGTCTGAGGCCAGATTTGAACTCAGGTACTCCTGGCTTCAGGGCCGGTGCTCTATCCACTGTACCACCCAGCTGCCCCTGCTGTCATTTCTAAAAGCAATAATGTTGCTGATTTATTTTCATAATTTTTCCTTAAGATACTTTCTTCATACTCCCTTTGATGTCTACAGTAAGCATTTTTGTACATATACTTTCAACTGTAGGGTAAATTCATACAGTGCATATGGTGGTCATGGTGAGAGGGTACACATCTTCATGAAAAGACCCAGCAGCAAATATCAATCAATGCAGAGTACGTGACAAGCAATCCATAACGCATAATCAAGGGCATCCAAATGACTCCAAGGAACTTCAAGATGAAAAAATAAGGGCAGTGACAGTTACCTTCAAATAAGGGATGCTCTCAGCAATCTTGTTCTGGGCCTTCAGGATAAAACCATAATGCACTTTGGCAAAGCCATCATTAGGAGTCACATTCAGAACCTGTTTTCAAGAGAATAAAATAAAGGATCACAGTTAAATCCAAATTTTGGAAATGATTTCCAGACACTTTAAGGGCTGCCCCTGATGCATTTGCAACTACATTAGGACTTGAGGTTTAAGGTGAAAAACAAAAGAATTTTCTCACACATCAAAGAATTTATTAATATTGGATCAATTATTTCATTCAACACATGGGACATTAATATTTCTGGGCAATAATTCTGATAGGAACACAACAAAAAGAACAGGCAGTTACTGAAATTAGGTCCAATTTCTATATCATGTGACTTGTGCAAATATGATTTAAATTCTGTTTCTAGTGATTAGGAACAATGACTACTCTAATGACAGTTACTGATGACTCAGATTTTTTAAGAATAAAGAATAAACAAGGAAAATTCTAAATAGTATTTTATTGTCACTTTCCCTTCACTACAACCTACCTCATTCCATAATGTTACAGGATGCCTTTAAATTTTATTTTTTCTTCATTAATTACTGGAGAGACTTTGGTACACAACCTGTGATCCAAAGTAGTGTGTAATATTATATATGGAGGAATTATCACACACACACAACATTAATTAGGTTTAGAAATAAATTATTCTGAATGTTCCTAATTAAATATTAAAGTAATCAGGAAACAACCCTGTTATTAGAAAAAATAATCTATAAAAGAAATGAGCAAAAGGACATTGGGACAGCCTCACACTTAAGCAGCAAAGGTATGTGAAGACTGCTCTTCCAATTGACTCTAAAAGGACTGACTGCCAGAACTAAATGTTTCTGTAATATCTGAAGGCAGAAATGGTGTCATTTCTTTCGTATTCCTTCATGTGTGTACTTGGTACAATTCCATGCTCAGTAACTACTGGTTAAATGGAACTGAATAAGCCACAGGCATGAAGCATTATGTTAAAACTCACCCCATTGCTGTCATTCATTTATATTTCTGCTTCTGAAGTGACATGACCAGCTTTTATATCTTGGACCACACCCAGGCTGCAGGATCTTTGAACTACATGAGTACAGTGAACCCAAGCGAAGTCAACATTGAGTGCAAGTATTTATGAATCCATATAAACAAAAGGAAACTCGCATGAGTCCTAAAACACTAACCTAAGTCCTCTGTGTCCACGTAGCAAAGAGATACATTTCTTAAATGCCAGATGAGCAAGAATTCAGGCATATTTTATATAGTTCTAGATACACCTCCTCATCTCTGGAATTAAAAGCCGGAGTAATTACACAATGGAACAAGCAATGGAAAATACTATTTTATACAGGATGACCAAAATGAAATTATTTTGGGGTTTAAAAAATTGTGTGAAGCAAAGCTCATGGAGATAACATTTTATAAAGTGCTTTGCAAACTTTAAAGCAATATACCAATGTCAGCTGTTGTTGCTTTTATTATTATTATTACCAAACAAAACACATTTTTCTATCAGGATATCTTTAGATAAGAAAAGAAAAATCTCTGTTTTGGCTCATCAGCTTGGAAGTGAAAAAGGAAAGAAAACAACTACTCCAAAGAAAACCACAGCTCTGGGATGTGACATGAAAACATCATATTCTATTGATGCTTCACAGAAGTTATCGCTAGAGACAATTAGGCCATGCTGCATATAATTACTTCCATATTTAGTATAATTAAATATAATTCTGTACAGATGATTCTGAAGATGAACTAAAATGCTTTGTATCTCTGAGACTCAGTCCTCTAGTAGGGGAGACCAAGTACAAACATTCCATAAAGGTTTACATAAATTAATGGATGACAGATTCATTACGAGCTATTAAGAGAATGTTTGGTATATTTCCCTAATCCCTGACAATTGTATCAAAAGGATGACCAGGCTCTTCTGCAAACACTTCCCTTGGTGCCTCTGTGAGAGCTCTAGCCATCATTAAATGCAGAGCAGGCCTGAAAACAACAACAAAAAACCCACCATCCCAAAATTCTGCAAAGATAACATTTGCTGTCTTGTTATAGGACAGGCATGGGGAACCTGAGGCTTTAAGATCATACGGTCCCCAACTCTGTTATAGAAATCAGCAACTTAAGTTGCAAAAATGAAATTTTAAATGAAAGATTTTATAACAAACACAGACTAGTTTCAATACTTTTCATTCCAAATATATTTGAAATTCCAAATGATTTGTAGATATTACAAATGCTATGTTAAAAAAAAATCAAGGTCTCATTTTTAGCTCATTCTGTAGCGAGTTAATGTGTGTCTTTTCTTAATCGGGATGAAGGCACACATTAGATTCTAGGATGCAGAGACCAAAGAGAAGTAGAAAATCATCTGGTCCTAGTCCCTAATTTTAGAGACAGAAACACACTCAGCAAGGTGAAGGGAGGGACTTGTCTAGTGACACAGAAGAAGAAAGACGCAGAGCTGAGATTCCAACCCACACCTTCTGATTCTGGATCTTGCATTTGAGACCTTAACCATGAGCCCTCATAGGTGTAGGAGCTTAATTAATATGTATCTTTGTTGAATTTAAGGAGGACGAGGCCTTAACAGCCCAATACAGGACAAAATGCCATTACAATTTGCTTTTCTTATTAGTTTGAGGGCACAATAACGATATGTGGCAAAATTTGAAAAACAATTAAAAGTAGATTTAGTCAAGCGTTAGCCTTAAATGATGAAAAGTTTTTTTTAATTCTTTAATAGTTATGAATCAAACAGTGTAAAGAATTCTTAGTGAGAAAAGTGCTTCTAATGGTGTAGCTCAGTAACTGTTCTTCAATTTATAGTCTTAAAATAGTGCATGGGGCACTGAGGTCAAGTGGCATAACAACAATAATAATGATAATAATAACATTTATATAGCACCTGTTGTTGTTGGTTGTAGAATCATTTCTGACTCTTTGTGACCCCGTCTGGGATTTTCTTGGCAAAGATACTGTAGTGGTTTGCCATTTCCTTCTCCAGTTCACTTTACAGATGAGGAAACTGAAGCAAACAGGTTAAGCAACTTGCCCAGGGTCACATAGCTAGTGTCTGAGGCTGGATCTGAACTTAGGTCTTTTTTTTTTTCCAACTGAGAAGTTTATTTCAACAGATCAAATAAAACAGGTGCCTCCTTGTCTCTGCATGTAGAAGAATGTGTTGGGCCTCTTGGTAGTAAAGTGTGGTTTGTGCTGGCGACTCAGAACTCTGTGGGGCAGAGGGAACTTGATTTTGGAGATGTGAAACCACTTGACTGCCCTCCCTGGCAGGAATTTCAACCACTTTCATGATCTGAATGGAGCGGGCCCACGCACGATGATGGGCTCCCATATCTCGGTAGCACTGAGCGACAATACCAGCAGTGGTCAGGTCCCTGTACGCCCTGTACATGTTGTGGGTTCCACTCCTGGAATCGTAGTGTGGCCATATGCCAAAGTTTTTTACTCTAAGACGGGACTTTTCAAAGACCTGTCCACAGCATACAATTTCTCTAGAAGACTTCATCTTTTTCAGCTGGGAAATGGAGTCCCAGAATCGGGACTTTGCTACAATATGATTAAGCATGGTGCTGCCGCCTCGCTCCCCACCAACCCACAAAAAGAAGTGAATTTAGGTCTTCTTGATTCTGGACCAGGTGCTCTATCCACTGTGCCACCTAGCTGGTCTATATAGCACCTACTATGGGCCAAGCACTGTTCTAAGTACTTCACAGTTATGATGTCACTTGATCTTGCCCACAGACACACAGACAGTATGTTCCACAGGTCAGACTTGAAGTTATGTTTTCCCAATTCCAAGACTAGCTCCCTGTCCACTGTACCACACATCAGCAATATGCAGTCCTGACAAGTAAGAAGAACCCATGCAACCACACATATAGCGCTAGGAGAATCTTAAATGCCCTCTAGTCTGACTCCCTCATTTTACATATGAGGAAGCTGAGACTCAGAGAGATTAATATCTGATAGCTGAGTGGCATTAACTTTTTTTTCAGGTCTTTAAAATCTATTTAGTAAATGTTTTTTATGCCCTAAATAATACCTTCATAGCCTGAAGGAATTATGAAAGCACTGACACAGAGTTGAAAGGGATTGCAGAACTCATTTATATGAATTTCCTATATAATATGCCAAAGACTCTTTGGCAACTTTCCTGACATGGGCAGTCAATGCCCTATTAATACATGAACAGTTTGCTTCCACATTCCTAGCATGATGGAGTTTAAGACAACAGCTAGGTGCTTCAGTAGATAGAGTGCTAGACCTAGAATTAAGAAGATCTGTGTTCAAATCTGGCCTCAGAGACTTACTAGCTATTACCCTGGGCAAGTTACTTAACCTCTGCCTGTTTCAGTCTTATCCTCTGTAAAATGGATATAATAATAGCAGATACCTCTCAAGGTCATTATGGAGAGCAAATGTGATAATATTTATAAAGTGCTATGCAAACTTTAAAAGGCTAACAAATGCTTGCTATTATTATTATTATTATTATGGCAGCTAGAAGGTGCAGTGGATAGAGTACAGGGCCTGGAGTCAAGAAGACTCATCTTCTAAATGGTCAAAGGATATGAACAGGCAGTTTTCAAATAAATAAATCAAAATTATCTGTAAGTCATATCAAAAAATGATCTAAGTCACTATTGATTAGAGAAATATAAGTTAAAACCACTCTAAGGTACCACCTCACACCTATCAGACTATCTAAAATGACAGGAAAGGAAAATGATACATGTTGGAGAGGATGTGAGAAAATTGGGTCATTAATGTATTGTTGGTGGAGTTGTGAACTGATCCAACCATTCTGGAGAGCAATTTGGAACTATGTCCAAAGGGCTATAAAACTGTTTACATCCTTTGATCCAGCAATACCACAATTAAGTCTGTATCCAAAAGAGATCTTAAAGAAGGGGAAATGACTTACATGTACAAAAATGTTTACAGTAGCTCTTTTTGGGTAGCAAAAATTGAAAATTGAGGGAAGGTCCATCAATGGGTGAACAAGTTGTGGCATATGAAAGTAATGGAATACTATTGTGTTATAAGAAATGTTAAGCAGGCAGATATCAGAAAAACCTGGAAAGACTTACATGAACTGATGCAAAATGAAGTGAGCAGAACCAGGAGAACATTGTAAACAGTAACACTGTGCAACGATCAATTACGAATGACTTAGCTCTTCTTAGCAATACAATGATCCAAGACAATTACAAAAGACTCATGATGGAAAATACTATATACATTCAGAGAAAGAACTGATGGATTGTGAAGGCAGACTGAAGTATACTATTTTTACTTTCATCTTCTTCATTTTTTTCTTTTATTGCTTCTTCTTTCACAACATGACTAACATGTAAATACATTTACATGACTGCACATATATGACCTATATAAAATTGCTTATCATTTTAGGCGCGGTATAGGGGAAAGAAGAGGGAAGAAAAATTTGGAAGCCAAAATTTTTTAAAATGAATATTAAAAACTGTCTTTATGTGTAATTGAAAAAAAAATAGTATTTAAAAAAAAGAAGACTCATCAAATCTGGCCTCAGACAACTACTTGCTGTGTGACCCTGGACAAATTACTTAACCCTGTTTGCCTCAGTTTCCTCATCTATAAAATGAACTGGAGAAAGAAATGGCAAACCACTCCAGTATCTTTGCCAAGAAAATCTCAAAGGGGTCATGAAGAGTCAGACACAACTGAAAAATGACTGACTAATTATTATTATTGAGAGAATATTAAATATTATACTTTTTTTCTTGGGAAGGACGAATAAATTATAGTCCTTTCAAGCCTATGTGATACACTGGTGGCACAGCTAATGGTACTGAAGTGTGTGCATAGACCATGTGTGAATATTTCCCTTCCATCTGCTGTGCTGTCTTTTTAAAGTCCATTGAATCCCTCTAATCAAGATATGGGCACTTTGATGTTTGCATTTTTACTTTTAAAAAATAAATGCATCTTATGCAACAGTAAATAAATGTTCTAACATTTTAACACCACAGAGTCAATATTGTGACATAACGTATGGGATAGCAATTGAGAGTCTGCAACTAAAATCAGGAAATCAACAGAAAGGAGAATTTAGGGGGGTAAAGTAGGATAAAAGAAGAGGAAATGGGCAATTAGCATAATTTAGTATAAAGAACAGAGCTTATTCTTTATATTTAGTATTAGAAGCATTATAACACAATCCCGAATTAATCTAAGAACTTCATTTCTTCAACAGGCTGTACTGAGCACCTCTCTCCCTCCTCTCCCTCCCCCCAGGCAGAAATCTTTCTTCCTGAAAGATCACTCCAGCCCTGGAATTCAGACCTCAGAAGTACCCTCTTCCTCTTCTGTTCCCCTCTTTGATTGGATGGCTCCCCAGAGCATCCATTTAAGGAGGCTGCACTGGCCGATATTGTCTACCATCCTCCCCAACTCTCCTCCCCCTTTTTTTCCCAGCTTCCTTTTATGTCTATAAGCTCCCAGAGGGCAGGAACTGCCTTTCTTTTTGCTTAAATATGTATTCCTAACATGCAGCACAGTGCTTGGCACATTGAGCTTAATAAATGCTTGTTTACTGATGGGCTTAATATTCATGCAAAGTCATTTTTTTGTTGTTGAGATATAAAATATTTGTTTACCTCTTCATAAACCTTCTTAGCATTGTCATTGTCACCAATCAAGAGATAACCCACTCCAAGGTCATTCTTGAAAGAAGTATCATTGGGAAACAAGTTAACCAATTTCTGAAGCGTGACCAGGGAGCCTCTCATGTGACCTGATTTGAATGAAAACAGAAGAGAAGTACACCTTGGTATATTCAGTTTTTATAAATCGTAAGAGATCATTCAATAAAACCTGAAGGTGGATAAAATGTTTGACTAAATACCACAGAATCACAGAACTGGAACTGTAAGGGATTTCAGTGGCCATCTAATCCCATCCATTTGTGAAGGAATCCCTTTTATAACATACACCAAAAGTGCTCAAATAACTTCCATTTCAAGATCTCAGAAGGAGATCAAGGCTAAAGCGGCCTCTTTGCAGCTTACACCAGTGGAAGGTAAGAGGGAAAGAAGGAAGAAAGGAAGGAAGAAGGGAGGGAGACAGAGAGAAGATGGAGGAAAAGTAAAGAAGGAAAGATTTATTAAGTACCTATTACATACCAGGCATTGTCCTAAGCATTTTACAAATGTCTCTTTTGATCCTCACAACAACCCAGGGAGATAGGTACTATTATGATCCCCATTTTATTGGCAGACAGAAATTAAGTGATTTGCTTAGGATCACACAACTAGATTTGAACTCAGGTCTTCCTGACTCCAGATCCATTGCTCTGTGTTGCCCGAGTTTTCTTTTCCCCATCCTAAACATGCTCAGTTCCTTCAACTAATGTCATATGTCAAATTGATAATAACAACAATAACAGCTTGAATTTATATAGTGCTTTGAAGTTTGCAAAGCACCTTACAAATATCTCATTTTATCTTCATAGCTCTAAAAGGTAGGTGTTATTCTTATCTCAACTTTACAAGTGAGGAATCTGAGGCAGACAGTGGTTAAGTGACTTGCCCAGCATCACACATTAAATAAATGTCTGAGAATGGAATTAAACTCAGGTCTTCCTAATGTAATTCTTCAGTTTATCAATGACCACCACCACCACCACTATTACCACTCTAAAATGTGTAGCTCCCTATTAGGAAGTCCACATTGCTAAGTTTAAGTAGTTGCAATGGCAATGCTTATTCTAGAGACATGGAAAAACAGAATACCAGTTATAGAAGTTCTTAAGCCCACCTCTGATACTTTTTTCCACTCATATTTCAGGGTTTATTTTGTGCCATTTTCCTTTAAGTTGCCAAAAATATGCCAACATTTTTATGGCACATTTTCCCCTTTTATTAGATATTCAAGGAGTGAAAAAGTCCAGTCTACCTACTCCACGAACAAGTCACTACAGAGTCTGAGAAAGCATTACTACAAGTCTACATTCAACTGAAGTTTCAGGTGTGTCCCCAGTTTCATGATGATAAGAAGTCACCCACTTAGGCAGTACACCACATTTTCCAGTATTCTATTACCCTCTGGTGGGCAAGAGCATGTACTACATCTTCTAGGTCAACATTCACGGCAACGCATTTTAGAAGTGTCCTTGATTCGCTAATGTCAAAAGTAATTATTTTCTATGAGGTTTGAGGAGTTACTTATGATTATGTACTTTGTAGACTTTTAAGAAGTGGCTAGGATGCAAGGAATCTTTTTCCAAGCACAGTTATTCATCATGGCACTTAGGAAGATAAGTAATGAGGTGAAAATGTAGCAATGGTGTTTCTATATTGAAAAAAACAGTACAAGAATATAAAAAAGGTCTGAGTAAAAGCTAATAGACTGTAGACTTTACATGAGCCAAGGACACGGTGTGGCTGCCAAAAAAGCTAATGCAGCCCTCAGCCACATTAAGATAAAGTATAACAAGGGCGGCAATAATCCCACTGTGCTCTGGTCAGACCACACCTGGATGGCTGCAGTTTGCTTTGTGTATATATATGAAGAATGAAATCGATAAACCAGAATGCAACCCGAGGAGAGTCATCAAGATGGTGCAGGATTTGGAAAACATCTAATACAGGGTACATTTGGGGGCATTTCTGAGGATATTTCTATTCTGGAAACATTAAGAGATTTAAATAAAAGAAGTTAAGCTCTCAGATAGAATACAATATGTCTTTTGAAAGAGATGGGGAAATATATGACAGGAGGATTAGGTCAGGGGAAGAAGCTACATAGATGGGAGGCCTAGGAAGGCCTATATAGAGTAATATAGGCTAAAAGTGAGTTCTAAAAAAGTCCCTTTCAACCCTGGGATTCTCTAACTCTATGATCCTAATTAATGTCATATTCCATGATGAAGAAAAAAAAACCTTTGGAAATATACCTTCACTAATTATATGCAAATATATACATTCATGCACATATATATACTGAGATATGTGTATGCATTGTGTATATACGTATATTATATATATATATACATATATGTATACATATCTGTACACACATATATGTATATGTGTATATAGGTATGTGTGTGTGTGTGTGTGTGTGTGTATTTATTTATTTATATAGACTGGGATTATATCATCAATATAGACAACTTTCAATGAAGAAATTCACTTTACCAACACTGATAGGAATGTTTTACAATTATATAGTCTTATAGAGTTGCCTATGGCAACTCCCTACTGAGAGGTTTGAGTGATTTTCCCAGAGTCACACAATTGATATTTGGTAGACAGTTTTGAACCTGGGTGTTAGTTACTCCAAAGCAGGCTTTCTATTAACAAAATAATTGTTTTGTTAAATTGCTTCTTTTATAGATTGCTTCTTTTACGGATATATGATGTATTGCTAAAGGGGAAAAATGGTCAGAAGCAAATAGAATGGAGGTCAATAAAAGGGAATATAGGTCAATAAGCCTGGTTAGTTTGCAAAAAAAAAATACAAATGTGAAAGAACCAGTCATGTTCTAAGTACAGAAAAGAAAGACTTTGGAGTAATAATACATGATGTGGCCAAGAATCAGAAATGGAGTTGGTAGTTATGGCTAGAATAGAATTAAGATATAGAAATGGGAAAAGGACATTCAGGAACTCTATTACTGGACACACCCAAAGAAAGATTTGGAAAATATGAAGTTTTAGGAAAGAACCAAAAGCTGAACAAAAATTGGCACAGTGCAAGAAGTCTTTCTCAAGAGTAAGAGTTTTGGGGCAGCTAGGTGGCAGAGTGCATAGAGCTCCAGCCTTTGAGTCAAGAGGACCTGAGTTCAAATCCAGCCTCAGACACATAACACTCACTGGCTGCATGTCCTTGGGCAAGTCACTTAACCTCAATTGCCACACACACACACACACACACACACACAAAAGAGTAAGAGTTTTAAAACACTGATATATTTAGGTACCAAGGACAGTCAAGAAACACAAGATGAATTTAAAATCTTATGGGTCACTTAAGTGTTATCCTACCCTAATATATATGTATATGTATATACATACACACACAAACATACACATATACACATGATACACACACACACACACATAATGTGAGAATGACAGATATGACTTCCTAGGCCTCTCATTTGTACAGCTTCTTCCCCCTATCTAATCCTCTGGCCATAGTTTTTCCCTTTTCCTTTAGAAGACATAGTGAATTCTATCTTAGTAATTAGCTTCTTATATTTAAATATCTTAATGTTGGCAAAATAGAAATATCCCTGTGAAGGCACCCAAAACCAAACACTCACTTAACATTTTGTTCGTCCAGCATGAAGAGATGGCAAAAGCATCTGTCAGCCCAAGGGTCTAGTTTGCTATGATTTTTATTTTAAAGATAAAGTATAACATACAGAAATGTTGAGTACAATAATGGATATTTTCTAAAGCAAGTCAAGTCAACCTTTAGTTGCTTACTTCACATTGGGCATAGTGCTAGGTATAGGGGCACAAAACAAGGTACCCCTGTCCTTAAGCAACTTACAGGTTAACTGGGTTGGAGGGATGAAGGTAGAGAGGTACAACATAACTATAAATAAGTATGATTCAAGGTAGAAAGTGAAAAGTGCAAAGGAAAGATCCAGAAAAATTCTCTGAGAATATTTAAGGAAAGAACAATCCTTTCCCTTTAGCTGTGATAATTAGGGAAGACTCCATGAGGAGATGACATCTTGTCTACGTTTTAGCAGAAGAAGAGGATTTCAAAAAGCAGAGATGTGTGTGAACATTGCAGGCATTGGATATAATCTATGAGAATGCTTTGAGGCAGGAGAATACAGAATGAGCAGTCAGTTGTCCAATATGGATAGAAGATAGAATGCATGATGGCAAAGTGAAATAAGGTTCAAAAAGTAGTTCTGACTCAGACTCTCAGGGGCCTTAAATTCTAATGAAAGCATTTGTACTGTATTTTATCCTATAGGCAAAAAGTGTGCTGTGGTCAGATGAGTACATTAGGACAAATATTTTGGCAATTAAGCAAAGGATGGACCAGAGAACTCCATATGAAAAGGGCCTGTGTCACATTTATCTTTTTATATCCCTCCCATCCATGTCAGTGCCTAATTTAGGGATTTGGACCTAAGTGTCTGTTGTATTGAACTGAAAGGGGAGGCTTATTAAAGGACGACCAATTAGGAGGGTAATACAATAATTTAGGTGAGAAGGTGGCAGTGTGAGTGGATGACTAGGAGAGATAAGCTAAGAGATCTTATATCTGTGAGAGACAGAAGAACAATAGATGGGACCTGGCAACTCTTTGGCTATGGAGCTTGGGTTTTGGCTATGGGCTATGGTTTTGAATCCAGGTGCAGGACAAGATGATGGAGCATCAGCAGGAGGAAGTTGAGGGGACCACAAGTTCTTAGGGGAATGATGAAGTTTGCACAGAACTGTCTAAAAGTACACTGGAAATGAGAAAATGAAACTCAGAAGACATTGGGGCTAGATATACAGATATGGAAATCATCTGCAGAGAGGTAATAACTGCCACTCTAGGAGAGGACATCAAGAGAGAAGAGGATAAGAAGAGAAGAGTGCCAAAGATAAAACCTTGGGGGAATACCTGAACTTATATGACAACAAAAATATCCAAGAACTCTTTACTTTCTCAATATTTTGGAGTTTCTTATGTAGATGACACATGGATAGAACTTGGGGGATTATATCAGGAAGACCTGAGCTCAAATCCAGTCTCAGACCTTTGGTCAATTCATGTAATCACTGTTGCCTCAGTTTCCTCACCTGTACTATGAGGATAATAATAGCACCTACCTCCTAGAGTTGATGAGGATAAAATGATATTTGTAAACTGCTTTGTAAACTTTAAAGTGCTATACAAATGCCCATTGTTATTATTAGCATTATTATTATTATCATCACTACTACTACTACTACAAGCCAAGCAAATTTAGGCCCATTACTGAAACTTCAGGGGATTCAGTTTCTTCATTTGTAAAATGGGGACAACAGTATCTGTAGTACTTATTTCCTAGAGTTGTTGAAAAATTCAAATAAGTTAAAGTAAGCAAAGCATTTTGCAAACCTTAAAGAACCATATGACTGACGACATATCACAATGATACATTATTATAACTTTCCCAGGTATATCATCCTTCAACCAAAAAAGCAGCTATCTAACTACTATATGGCTTACAACTAATTTTCCTAGTTTATGTATAAACATGTCACATAAAATTAAATCAAAGGCCTAGCTTAAATTAAGCTTGAGTATACTTTCTGCTTCCCCTTACCTGCAACTGTCAGAGTATGAGTCTAGATAGGTCAGAGAGACTGGTAATAGTATCTTCAACACAATGAAAAACTGACTTCATGATTGTTTTAATTGTTTGCATATAGTAGGGTTACTGTCTTCTTTTTTTTTTTGTAAAGATGCTATAGGTTTATAATTTTCTAATTTTTAATATCTATTGATCACCTTTCCACTTACTATTTGAACTCTTCATATAAGGGCTAGGATTGACACTCCAGTTTTATAGGTGACCTTCATCCAATTAGCTGGCTAATCTACCCAGACGCAGTTATAAAACTGAAGACTTCATCTCTATTTGACCTTCAGATGCTTCCAAAGCCAGGCATTTCATGCTGACCTGATTTCCATTTTTCAAACTTATTTAGTGTTTACCTAAAAATTGCTGTCTGTCTGACTGCCGCTTCAGGCTGAGTTTGACCAGGTCGGCAGGGACATTTGGCAGGTCAGCTACCTCCTGGTAAGTTTCAATGGCTCTCTTCAGCACTTCATTGCTCCTCCTCTTCTCAGCCAAATCATCTTCACACTAAATGAAACCCGAAAAGTGTGTTAGCATTGCAGGATCAGCTCTGTGATTATCGCAGAGTCTTCACAAGAAAGATTATTATCCATTCTCATTAACTTTGGGTCATGTTTTAGGGTTGAATTTTTTTTTTTTTTGGCTAGGCAAGTGGGGTTAAGTGACTTGCCCAGGGTCACACAGCTAGTGTCAAGTGTCTGAGGCCTGATTTGAACTCAGGTAGTCCTGACTTCAGGGCTAGTGCTCTATCTACTACACCACCTAGCTGCCCGTTGGGTCATGTTTTTATTTTTTTTTTGTGAGGCAATTGGGATTAAGTGACTTGCCCAGGGTCACATGGCTAATAAGTATCAAGTGTCTGAGGCCACATTTGAACTCAGGTCCTCCTGACTCCAAGGCTGGAGCTCTATCCACTGCACCACCCGCCTTGGGTCATGTTTTAAAAGAAACTTTTAACATATTACAGACTAGAAAGGGAAGGAAAAAAAAAACAGAAGAAAGATACAAATACAAGCGTCCAGTATTTTTTAGGGTAAAGAGATATGAAGTGAAATGAAATCTTCATAAAACTAGGGATAATACATACTACAATTTGCACTAATGGGCTAGGGTTTGCAAAGGTATTGTGTGTGTGTGTGTGTGTGTGTGTGTGTGTGTGTGTAGGAATCTAATTCTTAGTTTCTTTTTACTTTCAATTTGCATATTGTCTCTTAGATTGACTTTATATTGATCTAGCAAACTATATTTTTAAGGATATGTTTTATCTCTTTGAAGAAAAACTATACTAATTAGAGGCTACAAAGTAATATATCACAAGAAATAAGCTGCTTTTCAGCAAAAACTTTTTTTCCCTACTTTGGTCCGGTCTTATGATTTCACTGAGATGGGGAACTTGCTGGTGTGAAATATACTGATGCAGAATCAAAACTCCTATGTAACTTAAAATCTTAGAGAGATGGCTGGTACACTGACACCACGGTCTCACAGCCTGCATCTTTCTAATTTCAAGACTGTATAAAAATAATTAATAACAATAACAATTTATATAGCATTTTAAATCTTACCAAGCACTTTATATGTTTGATCCAATAGGATACTTTGCATCATTTGATCCAATAGGCATTCCTATTATCTCTATTTTATATATGAGGGAACTGAGGCTGAGAGAGGTTAAGTGATTTGCCTGAGGGGGCAGCTAGGTAGCACAGTAGAGTGTTGAGTCTGCAGTCAGGAAGATCTGAGTTCAAAACCAGCCTCATAAACATTCTAGCTGAGTGACCCTGGGCAAGTCACTTAACTTCTGTCAGCTTCAATTTCGTCATCTATAAAATGAAGTTAATACCACCTACCTCCCAGAGTTGTTGTAAGGATCAATTAAGATAACAATTATAAGATGCTTAGCACTGCACCTGGCACATAGTAATTGCTATAAAATGTTAGCTATTATTATCTAGTAAGTATGTGAAGCAAGATTTGAACTCAGATCTAAGTCCAGTACCTTGTCCACTATCACACCTGCCTGTGTCTAGTCTATTTTTTGCTGCCTCCACGCTACTTTGCCAATATTTGTTTTTATAGTTAATTTATAAGTTGTGACCCCAAAATTTGGGGACAAGTTCAGAAAATGATACTTTAAAATAGAAACCAGCCAACATTAGCATACATCCAGGAGATAGTTATGTGTGTAAATAAATCTTCTCTGGAAAAATCCTTCCTAAGAGATAATCTAACTGACTTGCTTAGAGACAGCCAGATGATGCAGTAGGCCTGGAATCAGGAAGCCATGAGTTCAAATCTGGCATCAGAAACTTATTAACTATATGACCATGAGCAAGTCACTTAATCTGTTTGCCTCAGTTTCCTCAACTGTAAAATGGGGACATATCAGCACCAACCTTGTAGGGCTGTTATGAGGATCCAATCAGATAATATTTGTAAAGTGCTTAGCAGAAGTTCCTGGCACATGGTAGATGCTATATTAATGATGATTCCTTTCCTTTTCTCCTTCCCCTTCCTGCTGATAAGAATATAAGGGTGTCTCCTATATCTCAGCAGAGATTTTTGGAGGCCTTCCTAAAAGAGTAAAAATTAACAAATTCATCTGAAATGTAACTAATGTAAAAATAAATTTTTGTCTTGGAAATTGTGGGTCAGAGAGCAAGAGCTCTGACAGAAGTTGGGGGTCACTAATAAGGAATATAAAAATGGAAAGCTGGAAAGTAAAAATGTGTCAAGTTGGTGTTCAGCAAAGTCCAGGGGAAAGAGTTACTCTGAGTTTTTAAGAAGAAATAATCCTAAAGGGGAGGATAATACATCTAATTATCATGGCTGAATGGAAATCACCCCAAGAATACTTGAACCCTTCTGTTCTAATTACATTCCACCAAAAAACTGTCTAGTATATAATTTGGTCAGTTAGGTGAATACACTTACCTGGATAACAAGACATAAAGCCAGTAGGAGGAAATGGCCTGTGCAAATGACCATCACTCTTTATTCCATCAAGTATAGTTCTCATTATAAATTCACAAATTAGCACATGGTTTATGAAGCAGTTTTTTTTTTAATTTGGTCAGCTTTAATCAGTTCCCAGAACCTGATCAGCTGTGGGTGAGCTATCAGTCAATCTTCAACAAGCTTATGTGCCAGTTACTACGCTAAGCACAAGGGGTACAAGGAAAGGCCAGTCCCTGCCCCCAAGGAGCTTACACTCTAATGGGCAAGGCAATATGTACATGAAAGGCATGAACAACATACATACAGAGTAGATGGAAAGTAACTTTAGAGAAAAACAGTCTAGGAGCTGGAGGATCAAGAAATTCATCCTGTAGAAGGATGTGTTTGTGATGAGTCTTGAAGGAAGTCAGGTAAGTTAAGAGGTAGAGGGAAGAACATTCTACACATGTCTAAAACCATGGAGACAGAAGTGGAGGGTCATGTTTGAGGCTCAGCAAGTAGGCCAGTGTAGCTGTGAAGGAGAGTAACATGTAAGAATACTGGAAAGGTAGGAAGGGATTTGATTGTGAAGAAATTTAAATGCCATATGCAGTTCAGTTGTTTTTCAGTCATGTCTGACTCTTCATGACCTCATTTGGGGTTTTCTTGGCAAAGATACTGGAATGGTTTGCCATTTCCTTCTCTAGCTCATTTTGCAGATGAGACAACTGAGGCAAAGAGAGTTAAATGACTTGCCCAAGGTCACACAGCTAGTACATATTGGAGGTCAGATTTGAACTCAGGAAGATGAATTCCAGGCCTGGCACTATATTCACTGCACAACCTAGCTCTCCTAAATGCCAAATAGAGGACATTATATTTGATCTTGGAAGTAACAGGGAGCCAACAGAAGTTACTGGGCGAGGAGAGTGACATGGTCAGAGCTACGATTTAGGAAAATTATTTTTGCAGGTTAGTAGAAAATGAGTTATAATGAGGAGAAATTTGAGGCAGGAAAACAAAATATGAAGCTATTGCAATAGATGAGGCAAGAAATAAGTGTCTGAATTAATGTGAGAGAAGTAGAAAGATGTTTTGAAGGTAGAAACAATGAGATACTGCAAGTGTGAGACTATCATAAGGAAAAGATAAAAGGTCTCAGGACTGAGCTTTGAGGGGTACCCCGCAGTCAGCAGATCTGACATGGATGTACATGTAACAAAGGAGACAGAGAAAAAGAGGGTCAGACAGATAGGAGAAAGGCAGGGGTTAGTGGGGAGAGAATACGTAATTACACAGTACCTACTATGTGCAGGCACTGTACGAAGCATTTTACAAATGCAGAACCAAGAGGGATCTGTGTCACAAAAGTCTGAGACAGGAGAAGGTGATTCACACCATGAAAGACTACAAAGAGGTCAGGAACAATGAAGACTGAGAAGAGATCCCTGAAAACTTTGGAGAAACGATAAAGTTTCTACCCCTACAAAGTGAGAACAAAACCCTGGTACCATGAGGACCTACTCAAAATAAAGACATTTCAGTAATATCGATTCTGAAAACGCCTGCTCAGCTCTGTCATTTTATCTACAGCAATGTTGGTGTAAAGAAACCTGTTATATAGTTAGCCTTTCTTGAGATAAGTTATCATTTAATTAGTTCAGTCTGAATATAAAAAAATGATTAAATCCTTAAAATTTGAATTATACCTATTTCTTTCAACTTCCATCATTTTATAAACTATCATGTTCATATACTTTCAAGCCCTTGAAAAACAGACTAGCTTTATGAATAGTTCTTAATTCTCCAAAATCTACTGCATGAAACTGATAAGACAATCACTTTGAAAAATAAGCTTAATAATGCTAGATTGATGTTATCAGTCTAAAGCCTACTGATAAGAGTAGTTGAACAGAATAGATGGTATAATCTAAAACTAACCATTTACATGAAAACTGATATTGTCTATAATTAGGTCATTCATTCAAACTCCCTGTGTGATATGTCATTATCTACCTCAAAAATTATTTCTACTAGACCATAAAATGAGTTAATTACATAATTCACATTCATATAATTCTTATTTGTGACTCTAGTGTTCGAGGGATTAAGCTGTGGTAATTTTCAGATTCATCTAAAGAGTAAAAAGGTATCAGTACTCTTTGAGATCACATGTTGCCCTTTGTCAGGTCCTTTTCTGAGACTTTTATATAATTAAGAGAAAGGAAAAAAAATGTACTAAGATATCCCAACATATATTATAACCCACTGAAACAAAACATACTATAACTAGGAAATCATTTTGTACCTGAAAAATGACACACAATATCACAGAAGAGCCCATGATAAAGAGGTCAGAATATTAATTCCATTCTGAAAATTTCTTTCCTGAAAAACTCAACTAATAGATGATTTTCCTTTATGTGATTCTCTTCTCAAGAGTGCTGGGCCCAGAGTCAGATAGACTCATCTTCCTGAATTCAAATCTGGCCTCAGACATCTACCAGCTGTGTGACCCTGGGTAAGTAACTTAACTCTACTTACTTCAGTTTCCTCATCTGAAAAAAAAAATGAGCTGGAGAAGGAAATGGTAAACCACTCCACTACCTTTGCCAGGAAAACCCCAAATGGAGTCACAAAGAGTAAGTAAGACACGACTGAACAACAATAATAATTTAAAGTTTGGGTTTTTTTTTAAATTTCTCACTACTAAAATGCAATTTTGAATATGTTAACATTTCTGCTTTATGTCACATTTTAGTTGCATCACAGAGATAATGAGGCATGGTTGATAGAAAGCTAGGTTTAGACTCTGAAAAATGGCTGTGTTGCCGTGGGGAAAATATTTAACTGCTTCAGCACCTTCAAGCAACTCTCTGAGACTGTTACAAATAAGTTATCCCAAATAGGTCAGTGGAGGGAGCTTCCACACTGATGACATCACAGGTTCAAACCACTCTTAATTCCACCTCCCAAAAATATGGATCACAACATTAGGATTTTATAACACAAAGGAGCAGAAACAATGGGTGATTTCTGGACCCCATTTGCTCAAGTGTTCAATTGTTCAATGTTGTTGCTATTGGGTCAGTTCAGTTATATCCAACTCTTCATGATCTTATTTGGGGTTTTCTTGGCAAAGATACTGGAGTGGTTTGCCATTTCCTTCTCCAGCTCATTTTACAGAGGAGGAAACTGAGGCAAACAGGGTGAAATGACTTGCCCAGGGTCATATAATAAATATAATAAATGTCTGAGGCCAAATTTAATTTGTTACTTTGGTAACCCTATTTGTTTTCTCTTGTCCATGGTTTACGCTGCTCAACAACAAACAAACTTAAATAATTTATGGATATTATGTGTAGATGATGACTTCAAATTTGTTCTCCACTGCTACAGAAACAGTGAATCTGTTATCATCATAAACCAAGGCTATCAGGGTTGAGGAGCACCATATGAAGTCATAATTCTCCCCTAATATTTTTTCTTTCTAAAACTGGATGAGAGAAATTACATTAACTTCTGGGTCCTGGCTCTCTGCCATATTCATCTCAGAGCAAGTAAGTTTTAAAGTTCCATGCATAAAGGTGTTATTAATTATGCCAGAGCCAGAATACCTGTCAGCAAGAAAAAGTACAGCGATATTTATTTGGGGGATTTTATTTGCTTTCAAGTTTCATATTCAAGGCTAGGGTTCTTGAGAGGAAAAGACTGGATAGGTGCCAAAGCCAAGTTCACTGTCTTAATACTTCCCCACAGTACCCACCCAACAGTTTCACCAGTAAATAAACTTAGCACAACAGGCCAGAAAAGATGGAGGACATAGAAACAGAAAAGGAAGTAGACAGAAACATACCCAGGCTAGAATGGAATAATGAATACAGAACCTCCCACCTTGAAGATGAAAATACTGTATTTTACATAAAAAATGGGAAATACTCTCCTGCTTCTAGTTGACTGATGTTCTTGTTTTTAATGTTAAGATACATTTTAAATTTCTTTATTTATATTTGGGTTTTGTATTATCTTTGTTACTAAATGGATTTCTCCCTTCTCCAGAGACCTATAATGCAACAAATAATAAGGAAAGACAGAAAGAGAGAGAGAGACAGAGGAGGGAGGGAGGGAGGGAGGGAGGGAGAGAGAGAGAGAGAGAGAGAGAGAGAGAGAGAGAGAGAGAGAGAGAGAGAGAGAGAGAGAGAGAGAGAGAGAGAGAGAGAGAGAGACAAAGCCCCATGGATTTTCTTTGCTGAAAATTACTGATTCAAAGCAGGTGGTAGAAAAGTATCTGAGAAAAAAAAATTTCTTGGTGATTGAAGAATGTGTGAGAAGGGAAAATTTCAGTAAATATAGCAATATGCAACACAGTTATAATAACAAGCCATATGCAAACCCAGCATTTCCTATTTATGTTTATACAAACTAGACACAAATTAGAGATGACTTATTTAAAGAAATGGGAATAAAGAAGAAAGGCAGAATTTAGAGAATATGAACACATGAAAAATATGGAAGTCAGCAAGTGAGGCCTACTGACAGAACAATCCACTGTTACCTGAGCTTTCCCATATCGAGCTCGTGGACTCTGTGGGTACTTGTGCACTAGTTCTTCAAAGGCATTCATAGCATCCTCAATTTTTCCCTGATGGGGAAGAAGAATTTATTTTAAGTTTCATATGCAATACAGTAAAATGTCACCTTTTTGGAAAGAAGGAGCATACTTGTGATTCCATCAATATAGGGAAATCCCAGGGTCCAAATTCCCTTCATAGATGCACATTGGCAACTCATTAGAGAGATGCCTCAAGCTACAAAGAAATTAAGTGAATTGTTCTGTTAAAATGGCTACTAAGTGTGGGAAGAAGGATTTGAACCCAGGTCTTTATGACTCTAAGACCAACCCTCTGTCCATGTTGCTTTCAAAATTGTTGTTGTTGTTGAGTCGTTTTTCAGTCATGTCTGACTCCTCATGACCTTATTTGGGGTTTTCTTGGCAAAGGTACTGGAATGATTTGCCATTTCCTTCTCCAGTTCATTTTTTTTTTTTTTACAGATAAGAAACTGAGACAAACAGGGTTAAGTGACTTGTTCAGGGTCACATACCTAGGAAGTGTCTGCAGCCAGATTTGAACTCAGGAAGATGAGTCTTCCTGACTCCAGGCCTAGCACTCTATCCAATGCACCATCTAGCTGCCCCATTATTGCATGTTGTCTATTATTGTTATTTAATATGTTTCTCAGAGGCCATGTATGGAAAACTAGTGACTAAACTACAGAGAATTCATAGTCTAGAAGAAACCAGGAAGTAATGATAATACTGTATGGCACATAACCAAGTGATGCTATGAGCATGTTCTGGTTTCGTTTTGGAACACTTAAGGGAATTTTCCTTGGCTAAGAAAGCCTTTTTTAGCCCCATCTTTGTGTCCCTACATCCTCTGCTTACATGAATGACATCATTCCTCTTATTGTGTCCTAACCAGTGTCAAATCTGACGAACACCAAAATTCTGGCTGGAAATAAGCCATGCTGGATATCACTAATCCATAATGTAGGTTTCCTGTTACCTAAAGCGAAATATTAAAATGCGGAAAATAACATTTTATAATCACTGATAGATTTCGTTCATGTTCTCCTTTACCACTTGGTCTGCCTGTTGATGTCAAGGAATTTTGCTGGGTTGATTAAGCATATAATAAAAAATCTGGTGGGGCGGCTAGGTGGCACAGTGGATAAAACCCTGGCCTTGGAGTCAGGAGGACCTGAGTTCAAATCCGGCCTCAGACACTTGATACTTACTAGCTGTGGACCCTAGGCAAGTTACTTAATCCCAATTGCCTCATACACACACACACACACACAAGCAAAAAAAAAATCTGTACTTTAGACAATATTCACATGTCCCAGTACATCAGAGTTGGAAGCAGAGTCCAATCCATGCTTGAACAGGAATCCTTTCTTCAATATCCCCAACAAGTGGTCATCTGCCTCCACTAAAAGCCCACTAGCGACAGTGGAATTCACAGCCTTACCATTATTGGGAAATTTTCTTTTAAAGAGTGAAAATTTCTTTCTTTCTAGCTTTTACCCATCACCAGTTCTATCTCTGGTTGAAAAATATTTATATCCTACTTTATAAGTATTCACAGACTAGAAAGTGAGAAATTCCTTTAATATTGCTGGAAATGTGGTTTCTGCTTTATGAACTTTAAATATAATTATATCAGGGGCAGCTAGGTGGCGCAGTGGGTAGAGCACCAGCCCTGAAGTCAAGAGGACCTGAGTTCAAATCCGACCTCAGACCAAACAATTGACACTTAACTAGCTGTGTGACCCTGGGGAAGTCACTTAACCCCAATTGCCTAAAAGCAAAAAATAAAAATTAAAAAAAATAAATATAATTATATCTAAGAGTTTTATCTAAGAATTTAAAGTTGGACATAAGAACATTAATAAAGACAGAATTAACTCCAAGTGTATCATTTTTAAGAGGGAGATTTATTCCTAAAAACTTGCTTTAAAACCATCTTTTTCATTTAGTGAACTAGTCTCCCAGTGATTTGCTTTAATGTTTCAAACACTTTCCTATGGGAAATATTTTGGGGCCCAAAGGGGAAAATACTGTTTGCTGTTAAAATGTTTTAGATCTTTGAAAAATAAGAAGAATTTTCATAGAATCACCTTTAAAAGTGTGGAGAACCTACTCATTGCTTACTCATAGTGGGCAACACTACAATGCTCCACCATCCTACAAATACAATACGCCCTCAGAAGCCACCCCACAGATAACCAATGGGCAGCAACAGTTAAATAACACTGAGGTCAACTGGATATAAATACAGATTTTCCAAACTCAAGTCCTCCCAGTACTTTAGGAGTTAATGTGATTGAAGTCATAAATACATTCAAAGTCATGTTAGCTAGATGACACAGTGGATAGAGCACTGGATCTGGAGTTAGGAAGACGTGAGTTAAAATCCTATCTCAGACACTGAGATATCTCAAGCTGTGTGACCCCGAGTAAGTCATTTAACCTATGCCTCAGTTTCCTCATCTGGAAAATGGGGATAATAATAGCACCTACCTCCCAAGGTAATTGTGAGGATTAAAATGAGGTGATACCTGGAAAGTGCTTAGTACAGTATCTGGCATGTAGTAGGTTCTGTACAAATGCTTATATCCTTTCTCTCTTTTTATTCATAGAATTTGTCTTTGTTACAGTTTTTCAGTCATTTTCAGTCATGTCTGACTCTTCATGACCCCACATAAAGGTTTTCATAGAAAAGATACTGAAGTGGTTTGCTATTTCCTTCTCTAGATCATTTTACAGATTAGGAAATTGAGGCAAACAGGGTTAAGTGACTTACCCAGGGTCACACAACTAGTAAGTGTCTCAGGCCATATTTGAACTCAGGAAGATGAGTCTTCCTGACTTCAGGCTTGGCACTTTATCTACTGTCCCAAAAGAAGGATTGTCTGGGATTTGGAATGGAGACTTTCTTTACCTACATTAAATCCAAACTACTGTCACTGATGATATTAGTAAAGGGGCACCATAATTACATAATGGTAGCTATTACTTTAAAAAAAAAAGTAAAGTAAAAACACTGCGGCCAGACAAAATACTCAATTCTAAGACTTCTTGAAATATTTCATTTAGCTATTAATCTTTCCCCTTTCTCTTCCCTTTCATATTCTTCCAAGTTTAAAATTAACCAGTAACACTGGGATAATTTAAAGCAAGTAGAATACAGTCACTTGGCTGTTTGGGATTATAGGGCAAATGAGAGTAGTAAGTAGACTTTGGGAGAAGCTAACTGAAGGACCTATTGTCCTCTCAGATTTTCACTTATTTTTACAAAAAAACCCCAACTAAATAGTTATTTAAATATCCATATCTTTTGTGAAAGTTAACTTTTTTTGGACCACCACTTCATTTCTTATATAAGATGTGTGGGAATCCATTCCATGTAATGACAAAAGTCTATTTATTAAAAATAATATATTTTTTTTTTGGCAAGGCAATTGGGGTTAAGTAACTTCCCCAGGGTCACACAGCTAGTAAGTCAAGTGTTTGGTCTGAGACCGGCTTTGAACTCAGGTCCTCCTGACTCCAGGGCTGGTGCTCTATCCACTGCTCCACTTAACCGTAAAAATAATATTCTTAAAAACCTCTTATGACAAATTCAACTATGCCTTCTCTAACCATATTCAAACAACAGGATTAACATTGTACATAATAAACATGACCAAATGAGTTTTTTTTTTAACAAAATGCCACCTTACTGAAATATCCTGATGAACCATCAATGAACAGCTAAATCCCAAATCATAGAAATATAATCTGACTTCAGAAGCCTGGGAACAAGCAGCAACATATTTTTCCCCAGTACTTTATTTGAACCTTAATTGGGTATGAGCTTTATTTCACTGATTAACTAAATTATAGCTTATGTGAATAAATACCACTTGTGCCTATGTTTGAAATTGTGAATCTGAATCTGAATAGAAAATGCTATCTTTATTAACATCGCTAAAAAAATTTAATTAAACTGCCCATAATCTAAGATTAGTGTTTTTCTGAGACAAGATGTATAACTGCACTAATTCTTCCTAGAGGAAAAGTCACTGCCTCAGATTCCCAACTGTAAAATGTAGATAATAATAATACCTATCTCCCAGGTAGGGAAGTATCTCTAAAATAAGATATCTGTAAAGCACTTAGCATAGTTCCTGGCATACAGTAAGCATTTAATAAACGCTTCTTTTCTTCATTATTTTACAGATGAAAAAAGAGTTACAGGTATAAATTGATTTGCCTATGGTATTAGAGTTAATTAGCAATAATTAAAAACAGGTTTTGAACCCATTTCTCCTGCCTCCAAGTTCAGAATTTTTCCCACTACACTATCTTTTCTCATAGCAATTTCATGCCTAGAGAGGAAATAAGAGGTCTATGCAATCTTATAGTTAGTTGGATAAAAAAAATTGAGGCTCCTACTCAGGTCTCACAACCCTCAATCCAGGGTTACTTCTACTATACCACAGAAATTCATATATAACATCATCATCATCATCAACAACAAGAAAAACAAAAAATACATTTCTGAGCTAAACAAGAATGCAAACCTACCTTTTTGCGTAGTTTCTCTGCAGCATCAAGTTCAGATTTAATAGTCTTGTCAAACTTATTTAAAAGTTTAGGTTTCTTTTTCTTAGCTGAAAGGAGATAAAAAAAACACGTTTCTAATTTGAAAGGCCAGTAGTAGTTACTGAGGAGAGAAATCACAGACAAAATTTTAAGAGTTGGCCTATGATACTGATTCTCAACATATTTCATGAGAGTGTGTGTGTCTGTGTGTGTGTGTGTGTGTGTGTGTGTGTGTGTGTGTGTGTGTGTGTGTGTGTTCCATTTGGATCACTGCATTCCAATATAACTGGTTTATTTTGTAATCTCATGAATTTTATTTTATGCATTTAAAAATATTATTCTGAGAAAGGGTCCACAGGCTTCATCAGACTGTCAAAAGAGTCAGTGGCCCCCAGAATATTAAGAACCCAACACTTAGACACTGCACTTAAAAAAACAAGCTCACTCCTAGTTCACCTTCTAAAATGTCCTCACCAGCCAATAAAGGGAAGTGTTTTCCACTAGACTGGGGAACTCTGCATGTAAATCAGGAAATTATTAGGAATAACAGCTCTAGTGAGTCAGGAAGAACTCATGAACTATCAAGAACTATCACGGGTTATTCTTTCAGAGTTTGACTTAACAATCACAAACAATTACATAACCTTAGAGTTGAGCAGAGCCTCAGAAGCCAAATCTAGCCCAAGAGGTCCTGGAATAAGAATCGCCTTACAATATAACCCAACAGTTGGGTTGGCCAGCCAGCCTTTGCTTGAGGACCTGGACTGAAGAGAGGTAGCCTATTTATTCTCCTTTCTAATAGCTCAAATTGATAGCCAGTTATTTTACTAACTAGGACAACTTCATTCAGATGCTGAAATGTGTCCTAATGGAGCCAAATGGATATATTTGTTTCAGAAATTGTACACAACGGCAAACAATCATGTTCAGCAACCCTAGTTTGTGCTAAGAAAGGGGAAAGTAAAGTTTCTAAGCTCACACTATGATTTTCTTAGTTAGGTCCTGAGGGTCAGATGATGAAAGTGGGTTACTTCTTAAAGGACAACATGAAACAGATGAAGCTGCTCAGAATAACTACTGATTTTTAGGATCATAAAATTTAGTGCTAGAAGATCCTTCCAGACCATCGAATCCAATTCCCTAGTTTTACATTTGACACACAGAGAGTCTGCCCTCTCACATCATCAATAAGATCTTCACTAATGGATCAGAGAAAAGAGATACTGCTAATGAAAAATATCTATAAAATGACACATAAGTTTGCAAAGTACTTTACATGATTTCAGCTAAGCCTCTGAACAGCCTTCTGAGGTACTACAGTTATTATCTTCATTTTATTGATAAAGGAAACTGAGACTAGGAGAGATGAAGTGATTGATTTGTCCAAGGTCACACAGCTAGTTAAGTGACCAAGGTGGGAATCAAAGACAGGCCTTTCCTGACTCCAAGTACAGAATTCAATCCATTATACCATCCTACCTCTTCACACATGGTATCATTATCTTTCCCCAAAATATTCCCCCAATCCTACCTTTCCTGTTACTATAGAGGGCAATACTATCCTCCCAGTCTCTCAGGCTCACAACCTAGGAGTCATCCTGCATTTCTCACTATCTCTCACTGCCCCATCTCCAAGCTGTTGCCAAGGCCTATCAACACCTCTGTAACATTTCTGCAACTATACCTTTCCAACATCTCCCAAATAAGTTCCTTTCTCTCTCCTCTGACATTGCCACCATTCTAAGGCAGGTCCTCATAACCTCAAGCCTGGACTACTGCACTAGTGGTGGGAGGGTGTGCCTGTCTTAGGTCTCTCCCCACTATAATTCTTCCCCCAGCCACTAAAGTAATTTTCCTAAAGCATAGATCCAACCATGTCACCTCCCTACTCAATAAATTCCACTGGATCTCTATTGCCTTCAGAATTAAACACAAAATCTTCCATTTGGTTTTCAAAGCCCTAGCCTACGTTTTCAGTGTTATGCCTTACTCACTGACACATGTTGTTTGATCCAGAGAGCCTGGCCTCCTGGCCCACTCTACAAACAAGGTATTCCCTCTGCCTATTCTCCATTCCTGGAACACTTTCCTTCCACATCTCTGCCTCCTGAATTCCTTGGCTTCTTTTACATCCCAAACTAAAATATCACCTTCTGTTGGAAGCCTTCTTGTTCGTTATAACCCCTTTTACTTCTAGAGCCTTCTCTCTGTTAATTAATTCCTATTTATTCTGTATATAGTTTGCTTTGTATATATTTTTTGCATATTGTTTCCCCAATTAGAGTGCAAGCTCCTTGATGGCAGGGACTGTCCTTTGCCTCTTTTTGTGTCCCCATCACTTAGCACAATCAATGCCTGATACATAATAGATACTTCATAAAAAGTTTATTGACTGAATTTTGTGAAGTAAGTGCTATTATCATCCCCATTTTAAAAATGAGGGAGCAGAGGCTGGGAAAGATTAAGGGACTTGCTCAGTGTCACACAGCTAGTGTCTGAAGTGGTATCTGAACCCAGGTCTTCCTGACTCCAGGTCCAATGCTCTTTCCTCCATGTCAAGTTTATAAGGTTAGAGATAAAAGTCTTTCCCCTTCTCCCACTGGTGAGTTCCTCCTTGGGACATCATTTTGGGGAATGGTCCAGGCCAATCATCCTTAATTCCTCTCCCTGATCTGCTTCTGACTCTGGACTTTGCCAACACACATCTGTTTTTCAGCATCCTCTTTAGGAGATGTCTTCCCTTTTAGGATGTAAGCTCTCTAAGGGCAGGGCCTGTCTTTCCTTTTTGCTTATATTTGTATCTCCTGGGTCTTAGCACAGTGCCTGGAACATAGTAAGCATTTAAGAAATGTTTGTTGCCTGCCTGCCTTTCCCCGTAACAACCTTGTGATGGAGGTAGTACAAGTACAAATATTCCTATTTTACAGAGATTGACTCAAAGAAATGTACTGGCCTGCCTAGTGTAACAGAACTAGTTTGTGTTGGAGCTGTTATTCAAATTGAGGTATTCTGACCAATATTCTTTCCACTATACCCAAAATACTGAAGTTTATTATGGTGATTTGATCATGACAACTCATTTTTATAGCACCTCACAGCTTGGAAATGCTTTCCTCACAAAAACACTGTGATGTCAGTTTATTTTTAAAAAAGTTTAAGTCATTTAGTTTGCAGAGATATAAATGTGTGTACAAAGAGAGGGAGGCAGAGAGAGAGAGAAAGAGAGAGAAGGAGAGAAAGAAAGAAAGGAGGCTTTAGGGAGAGACAGACAGAGAGACATTAAATGCCTTTAAAGTTTGATCCTAAAGGAGCAAAAATACAGGATTATTTTTCTCTATAAACAAACTTATATTAGTTGCAACTTTTAATATGGGAAGTGTTTTGTCAGAAACTTTGGATCTTATGCCTGACAGCTTTCACTCAGATATACACCAAGCTTGACTTGCAGTTCCCTCTGTTGACATTTAGGCTGACAGACACTTCAGCATAAGCAAAATGATCAAATGGGAGATTCAACTCATTGCTGAGATGACAGACATTAAATCCCACAACTGCAAATCTGTGTATCTCGGGTGAAGTGTCAAGTCAATTCATTCTCCAAATCTTCAGGATATTTGCTAACACATAAAAGAACAAAGAAGCAGTTGAAAACTGTTATGATTTACTATTCTAAACCTCTACCTGCAACAAGCAAATTTTTATATTATACTTTTGGAAAAAATATTAAAAGAATACCAAAATAACTAAATCAGGAAAACACAGCAAGAATACCTATCATTTTAGTTCTTTTTGAAAACCTTCCTAAAACATATTTATCCATTTTTCTGCCTTGATAAGTACAATAGAATGAATATGAATGAATTATTAATAACTTGAAGGTCTTAAGTGCTTTGGGGCCATTATGTTAAATGCTGATTATAATCATACAGTACGGTAGAGGTGTGTGAGTATGGGAAGTATAGACATAATATGATGACCCCCAGACACATCTCAGAAGGTATCTGCTTTTTTTTCTGTAAAAAAAAGATCTTAATGTGTTTTGCTGTTATCCATCTCTTCCCCTTAATGTAAAGTATTGAAAAAATTCCAACTGAGGATTAAAATTAAAATTCAACAACCATTTAGAACCATTGTGTCAGGGAGCTGTAACTACAGCAAGGCCACTGGGGCTTTGAGCTGGGGTGGTTGGTAAATTTGGAGGTCAAGGACAGCACATGGCATACTCCTCTCACTCCTCTCACAAGCTCTTCCATCGCATAATAATTCATTTTCCTGAGGGGGGAAAAATGGTTAAAGAATGTTATCATCCAGACAGTGATATGCAGGGGAATCACTGAGCTAGTTCAAGAGCTGAACAGAATGAAAAGAAAGGCTGGATTTCTTTTGGAGAATATGTGCAGCAATTTTAATGTTGCCATGACATACTCTAAACAAAATTACAACACTAATCTTCTTGTGATACTTCATGGCTATGATCATGGAACACTAACATTTCCAAAGAATCAACATGGTGATGTGCAATGGTGAGATATATATATGTGAAAAGGCTAAATAGCCTATTATCAACGATGAGTGTAATAGAAGAAGTGGCATAAAAGATGCACAGAGTATATATGATTGTAAAAGAAGGTAGACCAGTCATGTGTTAAGATTGAAGGAGATGATAAGCTTAAGGACAGCTCACGTACAGAACTGGCAATCACATGACATTAAAAGACTTAGGGAAAGAATTCCAGCACTTCGGGCATACCTTTTTCTGGAAGATTTATGGAAGTACAAAGAAAATCAGTCAGATATTCAATAAACATTTATTAAGCACTCACTCCATGTCAGGCACTGTGCTAGGTGTTGACAATATAAAGAAAGGAAAAAGCCCCTTTCTCAAGGAGCACAATCTAATGGGGGAGACAACATGCAAACAGCTAAGTACAAGCAATCTATGGGATAAATTGGAAATATTCAATAGAAGGAAGGCTTTAAAATCTCCTGCTGTTGTTGGTGTTGTTGTTGTTGTTTTTAAATTGGAAACTGACAAGATGGAGGGAGTACAAGGATTAATGAAAGAAAT